AGTCACAGGTGACTTGATGGCACATAACGTGGCAATATGAAGGGATACCTGGAATGCTTATGGAATGCTTTTCCATTTTAGACTTAAGGGAGATTTAAAGAAAATTTGATTACTACAGAGGGAAAACAACCAAATCATCTATTTGGTGAAGATTAAGGGCAGTAAAAAAAGTTACAAAGAGGACCTCTAAGAAATTGTGCTTGGGAACCCCAAAATGCAAATCATGGCTTACAGTTTGTTTAATTTGAGATGCGTTAGTAGGCCTGGTTTGCCTACACCAGTCACTGATGCTGCCCCCCCCCCCCAAGGAAGTAGACTGCGCTCTACTTCATAAAGATGGAGCCCTGGGGCAACGTCATTCCAGAGTAGTGCTGCTAACCTGAAGGTGGATGGCTCCAAGGCAGAAAGCTGGACAGTTCTCTCCTGAGAGTTTTATAGCCTCTGAAAACCAAGGCAACAAATTCAAATTAGTTAACACTATATATAATGTTAGGACTATATGTTGATGTCCAAACCTAACTTAAATAGGATTAATAGATTTGATTTTCTTTACACAGAACCAACAAATTGCTAGATGTCAGAAGGTGGATTTTAATAATGGACAATCAAGTTCTGGGATAACCTGATGAAAACATCTCTGGGTTTTCTATCAGCTTATTCTTAATCACATAGAGCCCCAGCACCAACACCTCATCCTAGCCTCATCTCAAGTGTGTCTTGCCTAGTTTGTTTATTCTCCTGAATGAATAAATTAATAAATAGGGAGCTCTAGTGGCCGGGTGGTAAGATGTGCTGGTAACCCACGGCATGGTGTTGGGATCTGGGAGAAAAATGGACAGTGTCCTCCCATATGATTATACTGCCTTTGAAAACCTGCTGAAGGGTCAGCTTTGTGTCAGTTCTGACTTTGTGGTGCACGAATGCACAGAAAAGGGTGCCCTGGCGGCTTAATGGTAAGGAGTTGGGCTGCTATCTCAAAGATGCACATCCTAAATCTACCAGTTGCTGTGCAGGAGAGAAAATGGACATTTAGGTTCCATGCAGTTTCCTACTTCTGAAAACCCTTGGAGGGTTTCCTATGAGTTGGTTTGGACTCAAAGGCAAATGACAACAGAACTGTTCACAGAACAGTTGTTGGATTAAATTTCAAAAGAAGCCTAAACTTTATCCTTTGAAGTACTTTTACATTGATTTGTCTTTTACTTAACAAAAAGAAAAATGTTATCATTTGGTACAGGATTTATTACTAGGTGCTGCTGAGTTAACAACTCCTGGTGACCTTAAGAACAACACATCTGCTCCTTGCCCTGTGCAAGGCCACCCTCATGATCTCTGTCATGTTCTGGCCCATTGCACTCACTGTCTCCATGCAGTCGTCCTTTCACTGACTCCTCACTCTCCCAGCATAATGGCTTTTCCCAGTGGTTGGCCCCTCCTGACAACATGCCTATATAATATGTGAGATGGAATCTCAAGTGTCACCATCCAAGACAGGCTGTTGGCAGTCCCTTCGGTATTCTTTCAGAATGCCACATTTCAAAGGCACTGTTCTTCAGTCTTCCTTCCACACTGTCTCAACTTTCAGATGCACAGGAAGCAATGAAAAGACTATAACTTGGATGAGGCATGCTTTAGTGTTTAAGCCGACATCCTCGCTCATTAGCATTTTGGAGAGTTCTTTGACTGCAGATTTGCCCAGTGCAACATAGCTAGTTTTCTTGGCTGCTGTTACTATGGGTGTTGGATGTGGATCCAAGGAAAATATATTCACTGACCACTCTATCTCATGTTAGGGAACTCTGGTAGTAAGGAGGTGGGCTGCCAACTGAGAGGCATGTGGTTTGAACCCACCAGCTGCTCTACAGGGGAAAGATGGGCAGTCACCTCTTATGCAATTTAGTGCTTCTGAAAACCTGCTGGGTGGTCAGCTATGAGTTGGTTCCAACTGGATGGTATATAACAACAGTAATATCATGATGTTGCCTTTTGGCCCACTGGTGAGGATTTTTGTTTTCTTGGTGTTGAGATGTAATCCGTATTGAAGGTTATTGTCTTCGATTATCTGCAGCAAAGGCTTCAAGTCTTCACTTTCTGAAAACAAGGTTTGTTTCATCTGCATAACGCAGATTGTTGATGGGTCTTTCTGCAATTTGGGTATCATGTTCTTCATATTGTTCAGCTTCTCAAGTGATTTGCTCAGCATACAGATTGAATAGGTATGGAGAAAGAAAGGTTACAACCCTGATGCACATATTTTGTGATTTTAAACCATGCACTGCACTGTTCCCTTTGTTCTGTTCAGAAAACTGCTTCTTGGTCTATTGGTAGGTTTCCCATGAGCACAATTAAGTGTTCTGGGATTCCCAGTTTTCTCAATGTTAGCCATAATTTATTATGTTCCACAAAGACAAAATACTTTTACATAGCAAAGCGCAAGTAAACATCTTTCTGGTATTCTCTGCTTTCAGTCAAGATCCATATGACATCAGCCCTAATATACCTCATTCCATGCTTTTTTCTGACTCAAGCTTGAATTGGGGCAGTTCACTGTTGTACTCTTTTGACTTGTTTTTGAATAATCTTCGGCAAGATTTTATTTACATGTGATGTTAACTACATTATTTGATAATTTCCACATTCTGTTGCATCATCATTTTTTTCTTTTAGAATGATAACAAATAAGGGGATCTCTTCCAGTCAGTTGGCTGAATAGCTGTCTTTTAAATTTTTTGGCATTAGGCTAGTGAGCATGTCCAGGGCTGTTTTTGGAAACAGCTCAATTGATTTTTTTTGTCAATTCATAGGACCTTATTTTTTGCCAGTGCTTTCAGGACTAATCACCGTATCTGTCCATTTCAATGGTGGACCTTTGGCTTTTCCTAACATGAAGGCTTTCTCAAGGGACCAACTCCTCCTGGGAACATGCCCCAAAGTATGTGAAACAAGTCTAATCATCTTTGCATCTAAGGAGTGTTTTGGCTGTTCTTTCAAGCCAAATTGGTCCATTGTTGTGGCAGATCTTTGTACATTCAGAGCTCCCTGTAAATATACAATAGGAGGCTTTTAGTCCCAAATTCAGTCTGTTTTCATTCTTGTATGTAAGAGATCATGAGATATTTGACTCTTGACCTCTAAACAGTATCTGAGCAGTACACAGGGTTTACGTACAATATCACTGTTTTTTAAAACTAGGGAAACACGGCTCTTTGCCAATTTACTGGGAAATGAAGATCATTCTCAGCAACCAGACTGTCGACATTCCAGAAAATGGCTGCACAGTTATGATGAAAGGCCCGCAGAGGGACTTCAATCACATCACTTTAGAGCTCAATCTCCATCTCCATTGTGGGGGAACAGAAAATAACTGGTTACAGTTTGCACCATCTGTAGCCATTTACAAAACAGATCAAGGGTGTTCCACTGGGCTTTCTTTAAAAGATGAGGTCTACGTATGCTCATTTCCACATCAACGTTGTGATTCAGGAGAACGGGTCTCTGGTTGAAATTCGAAACTTCTTGGGTGAAAAATACATTCCAAAGGTTCGAATGAGACCGGGTGTTGCTTGTTCAGTATCACAAGTCCAGAAAGATGAGTTAATTCTTAAAGGAAATGAGTTGGACCTTGTATCAAATTCAGCTGTTTTGATTCAGCAAGCTTCAACAGTTACAAACAAGGATTTCTGAAAATTTTTAATGGTATCTGTGTCTCTGAAAAAGGAACTGTTCAGCAGGTTGATGAGTAATAGCTAGGAGCTTTCCAGCTATAGAAATGAGGCTGGACTAGTCCTAAGACTCATCTTATTTTTGCAATAAAATGATCTGTCCATTAAAAAAACAACAAAACAACAAACTAAGGGAAACATCTCCAAAGTTTGATAAAGAATAACTCCACATTTCAACTCATTTCGCTCTTTTTGCTTTGCCCTTATCTTAATCAACTTTATGGAGATCAAAATTACATTATTTTCTTTAGGAACTCAACGAGGAGACTCACTCCAGTGCTACCATACCATGATTATCTGAGCATTGACCTGTAAGGGTCCTCAACGTTTACAGAGGCAGATTACAATTTGGGCACAAATTCTATTAACAATGTGTCTACATGAAACTGTCTACATGTCGCCACCTATCAAGTAAGCTGTAATATCAGGTTCTTCACAAGAGTGTGAATGGAGCACAGTTAAAGCCACCTGTAGAACAGGAATCCAACAGGCGGCGCCCTGGCCGCTGACGTCAGCATGTCCCAAAAGCGTAAGGTTGGGGCAGTTTACGTGCCATTTGTGGCCTTAACTCTGTGGCTAAAGGACATCAGCAATCCAATCTTTCCTCGTGACAATAAGATTCCAAAGAACAAATGGACATTCTTGTAAATAAGGACATAATGCCAACCACAAACGTCACCCAAACTACCCTGCACTCCTAAATCAATAGAGTTGATTCGTCCACGGTTATGAAGGGTGGAGAGGACGAGAGAGACCGGAAGAAGATCAAATCACTTCCTGGTTTGAAAAAGCAAGAGCCTCTCCTATTGGTCACCTCGGTTGGGGAGGTGGGAAAACAGTTGTCTATGCGCATGCGTCCGCCCGCTCCTTCCGAGGTTAGTGATTGACGAGGTACCGCAGTTCCGATTCCATACAGGTTTTCTTGGTTTCGGAAATCTGCTCAAAGCTATGATTCTCTCCTACCTAGGTACCTAAAGTCTTGGACTTGTAGCCTTTCTCCATGTTTTAAAAATTGCCCGCTCTTTAGGGATGGGCGGTTTATAAATATTGTATGTGATCGCAGTGCCCTGCCCCGCTTTTGACGGCTTTATCCAGTAGCAAAACTTTTAATAGCTTCGTTACACAAAGTTTACAGGATCCTATTTTAGTATTATTTCTCAAATGTTTGTTTACAAAGGAAGAAAAGAGGTTCAGGACGTAGAATTTACTGTCCTGAAAGTTTTATTAACGACTGTTATGGTTTTGCCTTAATTTTTCCTGGGCAGAAAGCCAGAACAGCGAGGACCTCTGACCAATCTTGGAACTAAAGAGCCATGACAGAGGAGGGAGATACCAAAATGCAGTCAGCCCTGCCGTCTGCCAGACCCAGCGAGCAAGTGCCTGAAAAACCAAACTATGCTCTCAAGTTTACTCTCGTGGGACATTCAGAAGCAGTATCTTCGGTGAAATTTAGCCCTAATGGATCATGGCTGGCAAGTTCCTCTGCTGATAAACTAATTAAAATCTGGAGGGTCTGTGATGGAAAAGATGAGAAAACACTATATGGTCATAGCCTGGAAATATCAGATATTGCCTGGTCTTCAGATTCCAGTCGTCTTGTTTCTGCCTCAGATGATAAAACGCTAAAGTTATGGGATGTGACCTCTGGAAAATGTTTAAAAACACTAAAAGGGCACACTAATTATGTTTTTTGCTGCAATTTCAATCCAGCATCCAACCTTATTATTTCAGGGTCTTTTGATGAAAGTGTGAAAATATGGGAGGTGGAAACAGGAAGGTGTCTCAAGACTTTGTCTGCTCATTCAGACCCAGTTTCTGCTGTTCACTTTCATTGTAGTGGGTCCTTGATAGTGTCTGGTAGCTACGATGGTCTCTGTAGAATTTGGGATGCTGCATCAGGTCAGTGTTTAAAAACACTTGCTGCTGCTGATAACCCTCCTGTTTCTTTTGTACAGTTTTCTCCAAATGGTAAATATATTCTCATTGCAACTTTGGACAATACTCTTAAACTATGGGATTACAGCAGAGGCAGATGTCTGAAGACATACACTGGTCATAAGAATGAGAGTTACTGTTTATTTGCCAATTTCTCAGTTACTGGTGGAAAGTGGATTGTGTCTGGTTCCGAGGATCACTTGGTTTACATTTGGAACCTTCAGACTAAAGAGACTGTACAGAGATTACAAGGTCACACTGATGTTGTGATCTCAGCAACTTGCCATCCTACAGAAAATATCATTGCATCAGCTGCATTGGGAAATGACAAAACCATTAAACTGTGGAAGAGTGACTACTAAACCCATTAGCAATCAAGTAGTACAGCCAAGTTGGGGGGGATCCCCTTGGCTATTTCAATTTTGGCATGGCTTTCTATTTCTTTTAAAAATTGTATTTTAAGAGACTTGTCGCCTGAATTTATAAAGCAAGACTGTTGCTAAAGTTTGTTTAGAACCTGTGGCTTCTGACTTCTAATCTTGAGGCTCATTATTAATCTCTCAACAGTAGTTAGTCTTCTGACAGCTTTCCATTCATTCTATTCATAACAGTGACTATTCTGGAGGCTCAGTCTATTTGAGAGATAAATAACATATAAGAAATATAAATAAGGTGAACAAATCTGTAAGACTGATCAAATGAGGGAAGCAGTAAGTTTAGAATGACTCGAAGGCTCTTGCTTTGGGAGATTAAATCAGTAAAAACTTAAGTAGTGGGTTGGAGATACCTATCACCAGGTATCACCTACACACTTTAACATTCTTAATGACAGCACATGCATGACATAGAATCTGTAAACTGAAAAGTCAGTCAGCTCTGTGAGTTAAGAAAATCATTGTTTATATTAAGAATTTAGAAACAATATGTAAAAAGCATCTTGCTGAATGCCCATCACTACCCTCGTGATGTTCAGGCAGAAGTCTGAGCAGTGTGGTGGCGCTCCTTACCAACCCCTTCTCAGGCTTTACTCACAGCACAGGAAGAAACTGCCCTGCAGAGCCAGGAGCCATCACCAGGGCCCTGCCTACTGGGAACTATAGCTGGTGGCTAGGTTAGGCTATAACTTTGTTATGGGATTCAAAACACATTATTTACCAATTTGTATTCTAATTCTTTTTCAGGCCATGTTTCTATTAGATTATGTATTCTGTGCAAGTAGGTTCTTTGTTTGATTCATTTGTGTAGAATGTAGACTTTACACAGCAGAGACTCAGCTGAAGCCTGATGTACGACAATGCTCTCACCACAGCTTTCAGTCCTCCCTTGCTTTCAGTGCATTTTAGTAATCATTTCCTAGACTCTTTATTTCTGCTGACTGGAAATAAGATGACTTTACGCTCAAATATTTTAAGATTATAGGAAATAAAAGGGTAGAAAACCATTTTTGCCCTCTTTACCTATGGAGACATGCTAAGTATGTAAAAAGAATTCTAGAAATTAAGGCAATTATATTACAACAACAAACTAAAACCAAGAGCAACATTCTCTTCTTCCATATCCCACAGTTCTTTAAATAATTAAGAAAACCTCAGTGCTAATGAGTCGGAACCAGCTCATAACTGACCCTGCAGCAGGTTTTCAGGAGGCTGTAAATTGCTGGGGAGGGGACTGTCCATCTTTCTCCTGAGTACCTTATAAAATTACTCATTAAATTTTATTTTCTCAGTAAATGTTCAATAACATCAGATGTTAGTTACCAGTAGGGAATGCTGGCTAAGAGACTGGTATACGAGATTACTGGGAAAATTGGAATTTGAGCAGGCTTGAAGTCCTGGCCAAGAACAACAACTTAAAGAGTAGCCCATATAAACTACTGAATAGGACAATGACATGAGAAATGACTGAATTCTTGCTGCGTAATAGCATTTGTGAGTTTGTGTTTAATGAAACATTTTTATGACAGCAAATCTTTAACATCACTTTTAAATCCCTCTTCAAAAGTTAAAAATAGCATTATTCTGTGAAGAAAGATTGCTTATTTTAAAAAACATACTCATTTCTAAAACATTGGTTTAAGTAAGATGCAACATAAATATTTCCAAAAAGGCAAGAAAACCTAATCTGCTAGAAGACACAAAGCAGTTTCTTTTGATAAGAAATTTACAAGTGATAAAAATCAAGTGGATATCTATAAAGGAGGTAAGGTCAGACCACTGTACTATAAAGTATACAGACAGACATTAACATTATCAGACAGAAAACTAATGACAAAGCATTTTAGAGTACTGATTAAATAAGTTCCCAAAGAGTGACCTGGGGAGAACATGGCATGTTGGCACAGCTTGTGAGGACCTGTCATCCATTAAAACTCAAGAAACAGAAGACGTGAAACATGTAAAATGGAAACCATCCATACCTAATTAAGAGGCAGCAAGTCAGACTATTAATGAGATATACCAGGCACAAATGTTTATATATTTTTTTTTATTTTATTATTTTTGTGTGTGTGTACCGTCAAATCAGATCTGACTGGTACAGGAGGAGATTGCCCCTCCTTCCCCGGCAGAGCATCTGGTGGATTCGAACCGTGCACCTCTGGGATTGTAGTTGCAGCTTCTTGCCACTAGGCCACCAGAGCTCCCCAAATGTTTATATTTTAACACTAATAAAATAAATTTTCACTATTAAGAGATTTAATGCCAAAGGAGCAAGAAGTGGAAGAGATAGGAATTCTCATGGAGCATTTCTCAAAAGCCATGGAACAGAAGTGACTGTCCCAACAACTCCATGATACTGGGATTTCCAAGTCCTTAGAGACTTGTGGCTGGACTTCTATCATCACCTTGCCAGATCTGCCCTCAGTAGTTGCTGTGTGCCAGCATATCTTCAGTGACTGGGAGTGTGGTCAGGTTGCTTCCTCGGGCTCTGTGAAGCCTGGAGACAGATAAGGGGGCTGCCTGCCAAGGTGCACTTGGGCACTGCCCTCAGCTAGCAAGCCTGATCCCTTATAGAAACAGAAGAGAAAGTAAACCTGTTGCCATCAAGTTCATTATGACCTCGTGTAACAGCAGAACTGCCCCAATGCATTTTTTTTCTTGTAATTTTTTATGAGATTACCAAGTCTTCCACATTATCTTTAGGTAAGTTTGAACTGCTGACTTTGAGATTAGTAGACAAGCGCAAATAGTTCTGCTGCTGAAGAACTAGGCAACATTGCAGCCTTGGGGTAAAACGGGAAAAGATACTCTACCTGACCCTCTAAAGAAGCATTAATAAGTTGAAATAACATTGTCCCATTTTACTAATTTTTTTTCCAAAAGGCTGGGAGGCTGCATTTTACCTGGATCAAAGCTATAAAACAGACAAGTTTTTCTTTAAAAAAATTTATTTGTACCTCTAGAGCAGACATAGGTAAATAAGTTTGTGCAAACAGTATTTTTATGAAATGCACCCTCACACCACATCCTTTCAATATAGACTTGTTGCTGCAACATAACTCCTGGATTTTCAAAATCCATCCATTGTGGCTACCCTGCTACTCTGCTTTGGCTTTCATGGCTTCCTCTCTCAGACGAGCTTTCTTTTCCAAGTTCAAGCTTGTTAAAGACTCATGTCTTCTGGCAGCCTAAAGGGGAAAAAAATTTTGTTAATATTTTAATGACATCTACCCCAAATTTTTAGACACAGCTTGAATTTTTTTCTTATTTTGACTTAAAAACATTTTTATTTCCCTCTTTCCCTTCCATTGCTGTTACCCCTCAAAGATTGATTCAATCTACACATAAACCTAAATTATTTTTTAATATTTACTTTTTCCCCCCTCAGCTTTTTATAATAGTGGTCTTATACAAAGATTCTCACCACTGTGCATTGTGATGGATGGTGAAGAGATTGAGATTGTAAACAGCTTTAGTTTGCTTGGCTCCACAATCAGTTCTTTTGGCACCAGCAGCCAGGAAATTAAAAAACATATTGCGATGGGAAGGTCTGCTGTCAGAGACCTCTCTCCAAAGTACTGAACAACAATCGTGTCTCTCTGGAGACTACGGTGTGCCTGATACAGGCCATGGTCTTTACAATCACTTGCTATGCATTAGAGAGCTGAACAATGACTAGGGATGATAAAAGGTGAACTGGTGCCTTTGAGCTGTGGTTTTGGAGAAGAGTACTGAATATACCATGGACTATTAAGAGAATGAACAAGGTCATCCCAGAAAGGGTTAAACCAGGCTGCTCCTTGGAGGCAAGCATTCTGAAGCTTTGTCTGACATACTTTGGGCATATTTTAAGGACCAGTTCTTAGAGAGGGATGTCATGCTTGGGAGGGTGCAGGGACAGTACAGGAAAGGAAGACCCTCAATGAGATGGACTGATTCAATGACTGGGATAATGGGGGTAAGTGTGTCAGAGATAATATTGGCACAGGATAGAGCAGCGGTTAGGGCTGTTGTACATAGGGTCGTTATGAGTCACAGGTAACTCTTCAGTACCTAACAACACAATATTTGTCCTTTTGTGACTCACTTAAGTCACTCAGCACCATTTTTTCTCGATTATTCCATGTTGTGCAATATGTCAAGCATTTGTAATTTTTTAGCCTTCTGTATTTCCTTTCAAGGAGGGAGGTCTGTCTGTCTCTTTGGGACATAACTTTCTAATTTATCTCTACTATTTTACCTTAAAAAAGAATTTGCAATTGTTTTTTTAGTGATGCATGACACTACTGTGTGAATGTACCCTATTTTTTTTTTTAGTCATGTGTCTGCTGATAGACATTTGGGTTAAGGGAAACAAATTTTCACAGGTAGACATTTGGGTTAAGGGAAACAAATTTTCACAGGTGGTATCTGGCACTTTTAGTATATGATGGCACAAGATGTCAGAACTTTGCAGGGTAAACACAGTGGTATGGGCATGCCCGGTCCACCGCTTGAATACTGGCAGGAAAGTTCTTTCCATACACTTCCCGTTTCTTTATGGCCCATTCTTTCAAATATGAGAGATGGCAGCACTCTCCTTTCTCTTCCTTCCTGACCAATGGTGGTTACCACTTTGAGCTTCAAGTATGAAACAGAGTTAATAATGGTCATCATGATTAAGGAAAAGATAAATAAACCCATTGTTGTTATGAGTGCTTTATGAATATCCAGGGGATGATTATTAACACGTTGCCGCAAATGACGGCAAATGTGTTTCTAAGCACGGTTGTCAATTTTAAAAGTGTACGGCAACATGTTAAATGTGTCAGTGCTGTATCTCTTGTTTCCATTATTTATTACATCTGTGGTAATGAAACATGTCTTTGGATATTTTTTTTTCTTGCTGTGTACTGTTGAATTGGATCGACTGGTACAGGAGGAGATTGTTCCGCCTTCTCCAGAAGAGCATCTGGTGGATTTGAACCGTGTGCCTTTGGGACTGCAGTGTTGCTTCTTGCCACTAGGCCACCAGAGATCCCATCTTGGATTATTTTTAATACAGGCTTTAAAAAAAACTAATTTAGAACCTCAATAACATTAGGATCTGCTCTTCAGCCCTAAGCATGTTATCCCAGGTTTGTTTTTACTCGGCTTTATTTTCTTTCCTTCTGATCAGATCTTGTAGAAAGTGGCCTCCTGTTCCATCAGGCATGAGAGTTAATTCCTGCTTTTCTGTAGGTTCTGTGTGGGAAAACCATGAGGGTAAGTCAGACTCACCTTCTTCCCCTCAATAATCATGACAATGCATCCTGCCACCGTCAGAGCGATCATGAGATAGCTCACCTTCACCCGGAGCCGGTTCTTCGCAGCATCCAGCATCTGAAATCTAATTCAACGAGACAGGAGACACAGTCACTGGCTTCTTTTTATGAGGTCATTAGGAGAATACTTGCCTTGTTAAAAATTAGAAGTACAGTAGGGTTTATAAATTTTACTAAGAGATCTCTTGTAAGACCATGGGGGAAATGTCTTATGTCCACATTATATATAAAATATATTATTACCACAAATGAAATGCAGTCAGAAGAAAGTATGAAAATAGCATAGCCAGGATCAAGGCTCAAACCATAACTTCATCTGGTGGGTTCTGATTTTGACACTAAGGTTTTTAGCAGCCAGTGCTAAAGATGAACTCCGGTTGGCCTAATTGGTACACAATTTATAAAACTCTGAGAAAATCAGCAGCTACATTTACTTAAGGTTATCAGAAAGATACTATGTGATATAAGGATTATCAGAACAATACCCTTATAACACGCTGTGACTACCTACCTACTTTTCCACATAAAGCAGAGTTCAGAAAGAAAGCACAGGAGGGGTCATTTGCTTTGCTCTCTATACCCAGCTTGTTTCTCTTAAACCAGGAGTAGATTTTAGAATATTTGAGATAGTAGAAAGATCGTTTAAGCAATTCCTCTTTAATATTCTTCTAATTAATGTTTTTATAAAATTGAGTGACACTGAACTTGAGATCATGCTTTTTGGCAAGCTTTTTAAGTTTTGTGCTAAAATGCCACTGTTTCTAGACATGCTTCACCCAAAAAAAGGTGATCCAGCAGAATGTGGAATATTATCAAAGAATAGAATTTGTAATATTATATGCAAGTAAAGTTGTGCTGAAAATTATCCAAAAACAGCTAGAACAGTGTATCAACACAGAACTGCCATAAACTGAAGCTGGATTTTGAAGAGACAGTGGCACCAAGGATATCACTGCTGACATCAGGTATAACATAAAATAGTAAAGACAGATTTATTACTAAGTTACATTCCCAAAAGACCATCTTCCTTGAAAGGAAATATGGAAGAGAAGACTAAAAAATAATTACATATTCTTGAAAGACTGCACAACCTGGAGTAATCTAGAACAAATTCTGCTGAGTGACATAAGTCAGTCACAAAAGGACAAGTATAAGACCACTATTCCAAAAAGCTGAGGAGAAAAAAGTGAACATAAAAAAAGCTGAGGAAATGTTTAGGTGTAGACTGAATCAATCTTTAAGGGGTAACAGCAATAAGAAAGGAATGAGAGGGGAGTAGAAATTAATCTCTTTAAAAGTCAAACTATTTATATAGAAACATTTTGGTTGAAAGAAGAAATGGCAGAAAAATGTCTATTTGTTTTTATTGACTATGTAAAGGAATTTGAGTATGGGGAGCATAATAAATTGTGGATAGCATTGAGAAGAATGGAAATCTCAGAACACTTAATTGTGTTCAGGTGAAACCTATACCTAGACCAAGAGGGTGTTGTCCAGATAGGATAAGGGAATACTGCCTGGTTTAAAATCAAGAAAGGTGTGTGTCAGGGCTGTATCCTTTCTCCATACCTATTCAATCTGTATGCTGCACAAATCATTTGAGAAACTGGACTTTATGAAGAAGAATGTGATATCAAGATCAGCGAAAGACTCATTATAGACAATCTGCATTATGCAGATGACACACCCTTGCTTGGTGAAAGCAAGGAGGACTTGAAATGCCTGCTGCAGAAAATCAAAGATTTCAGTATGGAGTCCATTTCAACATCAAGGTAACAAAAATCCCCTCATCCCTAGGCCAATAGGCAACATGATGAGAGGGAAAAGACTGAAGTTGTCAACAATTTTGTCTTGGCTTGAATCAACAGCCAAGATCTTTGATACAGGAAATCAAGACATCATTTCACCAAAGAAGACATTCAGATGGTAAACAAACACATGAAGAAATGTTTAAAATCGCTAGCTCTAAGGGAGATGCAAATAAAAATAACTATGCGATATCTCAACCCAGTAAGTATAGCAAAATTTAACAGAACAGCAAACAAGAGATGCTGGCAAGGTTGTGGAGAAACTGGAACCTTTATTCACTGTTGGTAGGAGTGTAGGCTATATGGTGCTTTCTCAAAAAGTTGGAAATAGAAATAGCATTTGACTCAGCAATTCCACTACTGGGAATATATGCCAAGGAAACCAGAACTGCCACCCAAGCAGATATATGCACACCCGTGTTTATTGTGGCTTTTTCCACAATAGCAAAGAGTTGGAAACAACCAAAGTGCCCATCAACAAATGAATGGATAGAGAAGCTGTGGTATATTCACACAATGGAATACTATGCTGCATTGAAAAACAAGGAACTCATGAAATATTAAGCAAAATGGGTGACTCTGGAGGACATTATGCTGAGGGAAATATCTCAGTCACAAAAGGACAAACACTGAATAGTGCCACTGTTGTAAGGCAGGTTGGACATCACAGTTGGGGGGAAATTAAGAGGGGATAAATAATGTATTCTGCATTGAAACAGATAAGGGAGAGAACTGTTTGAAAGGAATATATGATTAGGTATTAGTGGAATAACAAGAGTCCAGAATGAGAGCTACATAGTGGAGTGGACTGCGTGGTGGGGGGAAGTACTGTATAACAATGTAAGAAATTTTTTTTAAAACTTTTCAAAGAGAAAAGTGAACTGGGGAAGGGGGTGGGCAGAGAGGAAAATGCAACAATGAATGAAGGGAAATCCAAAGTCTCTGTAAACTTTCATTAAAATAAAAAAAGAGAAAGAAATCAAGACATGTTGCAGTAGGAAAATCTGCTATCAAGGATCCCTCCAAGGTATTGAGAAATGATAGCAGTTTAAAAGACTAAGGTGCATCTGATTCAAGACTTTCCAGTTACTTCCTCTGCATCTGAAAGTTGGACAATGAATAAAGATGCCACAACAATCAATTTCTTTGAGTTGTGGTGCTGAAAAGTACTGAATATCCCATGGATTCTCACAAATATGTCTCTAACGGCAACCTTGGCCACTACGTGCACACTTTCCCCTGGGGAAAAAAAAAGTGCAACCAGGATGCTCCTTGGAGGCAAGGACAATGAAACCTCATCTCACAGATGTTAGGCATTTTGTTGGGAGGGGTCAATCCTTGAAAAAGACATCAGGCCGGGAGAGTTGAAGGGGTAGGGAAGGAGAGGAAGATCCTCAACAAAGTGCAGTGGCCTAGTGACAAACAATGGGCTCGAGTATACCGGCAGTATGAGGACGGCGTGGGAGAGGCCAAGGTTCAGAGCCATTGTTCATGGGGTGCTCTGAGTCACAGCTGACTCTGTGCCAATCTACCACACAGCCACCACCACAGACCCGCGCAACACAAAGCTGAAGAGCTGGGCCCTTATCCTTTAGTGGAAGCTAAAAAGCTTCATCAAGAAGAGTCTAAAGAGGCCAGCCCTGTTGACGATGCTCCAGGGAGAGTATCTATGGGTCATGATTTTATTACCTGGGTGTATGGAGTCTTAATGGGGCCCAAGACTGAGACCATCAGACCTGCTCAGAAATGAATATCAAAATAAAGCATGTCTGCAGAATGTGCTTTCATTTGCTTGATATTTTCCAGTTATCGCATAAGTAATTTTTTAATCTGGGTTGGAGATTGCTAAGGGAGGATGAGCTGGGACCTAGTTAAATAGCAGTGTGGACAGCAGAGGCCCCGCAGCTGGGCCTACAGAGTGGCAGGAAGCAGAGACAACTGCCATGGTCAGTGTGGAAACTGCTCACTTAGGTCTGAGACTCCGTAAATCACAAACTAACAATTCACAGTAACAGTATTTTATGTGGACTGGTATTTTTAACTGACGTGCTTACGGAAAGGCAAATAGTGTGCATTTGAGGGAACACTGGAAAAAGTAAAATGCATTTAAATGAGGTAAAGAGGTCAACGCTCTACCCTTTAGGGAGCATTAAGAATGGATACGCGAAGTACATCTTGTTCAGAACCACAAGCAGGGTAGTTACCTAGGCTCAAAGGCAAGGCTTCCAGGGTGAATCACTGGGCAGTGCTTTGGACTAAGGAGTTGGGGAGGACTATACAGGGACTGGGGAATGTGACCCTTCGTAGGTCTATGCAGCTCCTGTCAGAGTCATGGGGATATATCAGCTAGGTTTGATTCCTTAGTAAGATGCTAGGGGACTGTGTGGTCCAGTAACCTGCTTGGGACAGATCTTCTGAGCCTGTGTCATTAACTTTTACTACAGAGCTGGGTTGTTGTTGTTTGTTGTTATGTGCCATCGAGTCGCTTGTGACTCATAGCGACCCTATGCACAACAGCCCTAAACTCTGCTCTGTCCTGCCAATCGCACTGTCTCTGACACTCCCATCCCAATTACCCCAGTCACTGAATCAATCCACCTCATAGAGGGCCTTCCCCTCCTGCGCTGTTCCTCCACCCTCCCAAGCATGATGTCCTTCTCCAAGGACCGGTCTCTCCTCACAACATGTCCAAAATATGTTAGATGGAGCCTCAGAATCCTTGCCTCCAAGGAGCCACCCAGTTTAACCCTCTCCAGGATGAATCTGTTCATTGTCCTAGCAGTCCATGGTACGTACCCTCAATAGTCTTCTCCAGCACCATAGCTCAAAGGCATCAATTCTACTTCTATCCTCCTTAGTCATTGTCCAACTCTCTGATGCATAACAAGTGATAGCAAAGACCATGGCCTGTATCAGACGCACCTTAGTCTCCAGAGAGACACCACTGCTCTTCAGTACCTTGGAGAGGTTCCTAACAGCAGACTTTCCCATGGCAATACACCTTTTAATTTCCTGACTACTGGTGCCAAGAATGTTGACTGTGGAGCCAAGCAAACTAAAGCTGTGAACAATCTCAATCTCTTCACCATCCATCCTGATGCTGCCAATTGGTCCAGTGGTGAGAATCTTTGTCTTCTTGACATTGAGCCGCAATCCATACTGAAGGCTGCAGTCCTTGACCCTCTGCAGCAAGCGCTTCAGGTCCTCCTCAGTTTCAGCAAGCAGGGTTATGTCATCTGCATAATGCAGATTGTTGATTGATCTTCCACCAATCTTGACCCCACATTTTTCCTCATAGAGCCCAGCCTCCCGGATAATGTGTTTTGTAAATGTGAGATGTCTGTGGCTTATGATGGGGACTGGAGAGATTATTAGTAATGTAAATTGGGCATGTGGCACCTTTCAGGAGGGATCATGCAAATAACATGTGTAGAATGCTAATATGGAGATTGGCCAGTTTTGCCATTCTGAAAGGCACTGAGCCAGCCCTCAGCTGGGAAAACAAGATCTCACTACAAATAAGAAATTTAAAAAGAAAAAAAAAATTAGCACAACCTGTGAGGGATTCCTGCTCAAACTAGAGACCAAGAACTGAGATGGCACAAGGTGGCAGTGGCAACAGTGATGGCAGAGGTGGCAAACCAGAGGGGGACGTGACACTGAGCAGTGGGCTTCCGACCCACAGGGTTGGAGCCAGGTGCCTTCCTCCCTAGGTTTCTTGGCAAAGAGGGGGGCCCTTGGCATGGAATTGGCAGTGCTCAGGAACTCTAACACTTGCCCAGACAGGGCCGAGAACAGCTTGCCTAGGAACACTGAATTTATACTTTATAATGAAAGATGTGGCATCAGGATAATAGAAGACTGATTAAAATCTGAGTTATTCAAATATATAACCTTGCTTGCTGAAAGCAAAGAGGGCTTGCTGCAGAATATCAAAGACTTCAGCCTTCAAGTTACTTGTATCCACAATCAGAATCCTTGGTACTAGCAGTTAAGAAACCAAGAGATGTGTTGCATTGGGAAAATCAAAGAGCAAAGATACCAATTTAAAAGTATAAGCTGTACCAGAACCAAGGAGGGCACAGGATAGGGCAGAGTTCAGATCTTAGGTTCACAGGGTTACTATGAGCTGTCACTGACTCCACAGCACTTAACAATCATAACAATTAACAGTGCTTAATGTAAGAAACCCTGGGCCAGAGGACTCTACTTGTCATCTCAGTGAAAAATTCCCAAGATCCCACCTAAAGTTGTTTTAAAGAATTTGGTGATAGGAGATACTCTTTCCTGGATCACAGAAATAAAATGTGTTGCATTTAAACACTTTCAAGTCTAAGGTTGAATATGCAAGAGGATTTTGTAGAGAATTTTTACTGTTGTTATGTACCATCGAACTGGAACTCATAGCTGAACCCCCAGCAGGTTTTCTGAGGCTGTATATTGCACAGTAGGAGACTGCCCATATTTCTCCTGCAAAGCAGTTAGTGGATTTGAACCACTTGCCTGTGGAACAGCATTTGCAACTCCTTACCACTAAGCCACCAGAGCTCTCTAGAATATAGTTATTGTCATTTATTTACCCAGGTTAAAAACAAATGTACAAAATTGAGTATCATTGTTTTTTTGTTTTTTTTAATTTTGTGTATGTGTACCGTCAAATCAGATCTGACTGGTACAGGAGGATATTGCGCCTCCTTCTCCGGCAGAGCGTCTGGTGGATTCGAACCGTGTTCCTCTGGGATTGCAGTGCAGCTTCTTGCCACTAGGCCACCAGAGCTCCCCTTGAGTATCATTGTTGAAATACATTTATGCAGTTTGTAGATTAAATCAGTCAGGTGATTTCAGAGTTACTGATGGCTCCTCACTAGGCTTTAAATGTCCCAAGACACAGATTCTCTAAAACTGCTTTTATTCCAGGTACTAGCCAAAGAGGAAAAACTTAAGAGAAATTAATGATGATGATGATGATGATAATAATAATAATAAAAAATGAATACAATTTCAGAAGCAGGAATGGCATCCACTTCCTAAGCAATATGCCTCTGAAAACTCTATGAACTTTGATAAATGTCAATAGTTATAGAAAGACTTCTGGCCTTTTGTTCAAAGGCTCACTGTGAATTGTGTTTGATTCGATGGCCATCAACAACAACAATAATAATAAATTGTTTAAAAAATCTGGTTGATAGGTTTCAAGAAGGTAAAACTAGAGGAACGGCTTTCCTTTTAAAACAGATTTAAAAAAAATAAACTGTTGAGTTGATTTCAATATGTGGTGATGCCATGTGTTAAGGGACAGAAATGCTGCACAGAGTAGGCTCTGGCTGTGATAGGCAGATGGACAGGCCTTTCTTCCTCAGTGCTGCTGGGT